CGCGCAGCTTGCAATGCGCTCGCAAGCTGTCCAGAGACCTCGTCCATGCTATCCCATCCGTAGCTCATCGTGCCCATGTGCAGCTTTCTCAGCTCCATTTCGTTTTGCGTCAGCGTTCCAGTCTTGTCGGACAAGAGATACTCTATCCTTCCCAATTCTTCCGGTAACGTGCTGGTTCTGACGATCGTTTGCGGAATTTGGGCATCGCCTTGAATCTGCCGCGCATACACCGTCTTGCCCATGTCCAGATTGACGCGTAGAGAGATGGGTATGATGGAGCTAAAGAGGATCAGGAACCTGAAAATGTACACGTACCACTGACCCCTGAAGCCGTTGAGCGCTACCAACCCGACGGACAGCGCAAAAGTGACGCCGCACAGAATCTTGGCCATCCTATTAATCTCTAGATCCAACAATCCCACTTTAGTGCCCGGGTGAGAAGTGTTCATCACCGCGCGTGTCTCGCGCCCAGTGTACGCCACCACGCCGATCGCCGTTCCTGCTGCCAGTACCGTATTGGCCCACAGGACATTCTCAGCATTGAGAGGGGCGATCTGCGGTTGGCCAGGTCTGTCGTCTGCCGGTTGATGATGATTCTCGAGCAAGGCCGAAGTTGATCTGTTCTTGTTGGACTGCTCGACGCTAGTTAGGAGGGTAAATGTCCCCACGAACGTGTGTATATCCTTGATCGGTTTTCCAGCATAGACGACGGCCGCATCTCCAAGCGCTACCAATTCAGCCTCGTCCATGCGCTGAGTGAGGTCCACCGCCACCCTCAATTTCCAGTCCGTCTCTCCGTCCAGCTGATCCGTCCGCACAAAACAAGTCCCGCTAGCTCCTTCTTGTTCCCGCGAGGAGGATTCCTCTTGGGGCGCTTGCTGCTTTGCGACGCCGCCCCCGGCAGCCTCTTCATCGTCTGAATCATCCAGGACGAAATGTTGAGCTTCTTGAGGCGCGCCTCGTGTGGAGTCGAGACGTGGCGGTAGATGATCACCAGCGGTGGTGCGCAAAAGGACGAGGTCCGCAGGTACGCGCTGGCTCTTGTGCAGCAGCACCAAGTCTCCCACTTTCAGTTTGGATGAAGGAGTGGGTACAATGATAAATCCCTCTCCGTTAGTCTCTAGATCCCTCTTGCGCTGCTTCTTTGATCGGAGGTGCGCTAGCGCTACAGGAGAGTCGGGCGCATACAGCACATCGATCGGCGTCCCATTGCTCTCCACGTCCCTCTTGAATCGCGCGTAATCGTCGAATCCCTCTTTTCCAATAGTGATGAGCAGCACGAAAGCCAAAGGTCCGATATAAGTGGCGATGAAACCGATCTTGAGCGCTGGGACGAATTGGCTGAGCGCGACGAGCAAAAAGTACAGATTGAAAAAGAATTTGAACTGCTCGTACAGCACCAATGGCAGGAATGTGATGAGGTTGTACTTTTGATTGCGAACCACATTGGGCGGGTGTTTGACGTGTTTATCTGGAGCGCGTGCGCATTCAGGTAAGGAGGGGCCCTGCGAGGGGTGCAGGCCTTGGCAATCTCGAAACACTCACCACCGCCAAAGACGAATGTCCTGCCCTCATCAGCAGCTTTGCTTCTGCCCGACAATCGCGCCCAAAAGCCAGCGTGATCATCTTTGATCTTGTTCGCCTTCTTCCTCGTCGCTTCCAAGCTTGCCCGAATGCCGCTCGTAGATTCGTCGGCATACTCTCCACTCCCGCTCAGTCCATCTCGACCCCTCTCAGGTCCAGCATCGTCCAGCTGCAGACTCTGCGCCAGCAATCCTCTCCTTTCTGATGCTGCCTCTTCCTCCTCTTCTTCATCGCTGGCCAGGCCTTGCCCTCCCCCTCCTGCACGTCTATACCTACCAGCAGCTCCTTGAAGCATCAATCGATTTCTCGTCTGTCTCGCCCTCATGCTCCTTACTGCCGAAGCAGGCGAGACCGAAGCTGCGTCAACCGAGCGAGAGGTAGAAACGGAAGCTTGATGCTCGTAAGGGTGAGATTCGGAGTCGGAAATGGAGAGATGCATCACGTCGAGGAATGGAGAGTGTGGTCGATTGGACAACCTCTGAAGAGGTATATCGTAAATGGACGAAGATTCGTCCTCTTCTTCCCCGACCGATGGAGTGTTGGCTGAGCGTGAGCGGCGAGAGGGAACACCGAGGGTCTTTGGTCGTCTCATGGACGGGATGCGAAGCAAGGCTCTGGAGTCGGGTCAAAGACTCTCGCTGCTGCTGATACCCCAAGGTTGTAGATCGTATTGCGGAGTACGGGTGAAATGGATGTGAGTACGGTTGGTTCAAGGAGAAGGGGAGAATTGCTTGTGGAGGTGCGAGGGGGGGGATCAACGGCTCTCACGTGAGGCTGCTCAAGGTGCGCGTGATGGCAATGGTGATGGTGATGGTGATGGTGTTGGTGTTGTAGGGGAGCTGGCCGTTACACGGCGATCGCGGGCGCAGTGGCACCGCACATACACACACGTGAATACCGTACCGTACACAGCAAACGTTTGCGCACGGCCTTTTGCACGGCGCACGCAAATGCAAGCAAGCCGTCACGAAATGCAGCAAATTCGAGGTAAAGGCTCGATGAAAGCATCGCATCGC